CTCTTCAGAAACCAACGGGTGACGTCACGGACACTACGTCCATCTTTATATACAGTCTATGGTCAAACTCAATGAAACTGACACCAAACTGCAAAGAATAAAAGAATAATCCTGCCATTAACCATTTTAGCCAGATATCCTGATGTATTGTTATATGATTGTCTTACAATATATTGATTATTGCAGAATAGTTATAAAGTGATATTATTGTTATCATGGGGCATGTATCGCTTATCGTATCCTATCGCGAGTTACCCTGCAATTCCAGCCCGAACATTAAACCATCATATTACATATATACAATTCTGCAAACTATAGTCAGCAAGTGTTGAGGCTCCAAAAATAGAAAATGTTTGTCCTCTTTTCCCTGACACCTCAGCATGGGGTGTATCATAAAATCACTTGATTGTTTCATCCTGCTGCCGACACGGTCAGTCACCGCTTATGCACAATGCCACTTCACAGGAGTCTTAATAGTGCACAGCTCCCTTGGCACTGACCCTCTCAAGCCCACAGTTACCAGCAGCTGCAGCTGACACCGAGGCGAAGGCTCAGCCTCCAGGGACGCAGCACCCTACTTATGTCTCTGCCCCCTCCCTGCAGGAAGACGGCTAATAGACTCTTGTCTGCATGTCATTTATACGTATAATCCCAAAAATTTGCCTTTACTTGCATATACTCATCTCTTTCGAACAAGGCTCCTGTCTTTTGCTCCTTCAGAATCACACTATTGAGATTTTTTTCTCCATCAAACATCTAAATGCTTTCACAATCCCCCAAAAGGATTAATAAACTACAACTGTGTGATCTAGTTCACTCACATTTCTCAGACATTAAGATTCCCATGAGCACATTGTTACTTATTGGAGATGACTTCAGTGTCCTTTTGAACCTGCCGGGGAGGGAGATGTGTTTTTGTTGTGGTTGGTTTATTACTCAATTAAAAGGCTTTCTTCATTACAGAGTCAGTTCAAACCGGGGAGAACTGTGGAATCTCTCAGTACCCGACCTCTTTTGAAGCATTTGTAAATTAAAAAAGCAAAACTGACAATCTGCAGAGAATCCTAATGTCACTGCGACGTCTTCTTAAAAAACCCAAACTGCTTTTTCTACAGAAGATTAATCTGCCAGTATTTTGATGATTGCCTGAGTCTCATTCAATAAAAGCATATTTGATAGTTTCAACTACTTTGATGTGAAGGTTTGCTGCTTTTTCTTGGTTTTAAATTGTTGCAAAATTAATCATTTCTAGTTTTGCATGTGCTGATATATCACCTTAGGGACACTCTTTTTACCAGAACAGATGTTTTATAGATCAAACAGTTAATTGACAAGTGGATTGATTGATGATTGAGAAAATAATTAATTTATCAATAAATCGAATGGCACACAATAGAGCGTATACTTCCACCGAGTCCAAAAAGCCCCCTATAAATTAGGCTGCACCAATTTTTACACACTAATAGATATGAGTTTCTGAAATGACTCTGCTTTTTTCTTATCAAGATACATTAATTATTCCCTGCATGGTGAAGGTATTGAAAAGCGTCATGAAACAAAGTGAAAAAAAAACATTCCTGGATCCATCCCCTGATCCTGATCCCCTCTACAATTTAACACGTTCTACTCGGACCCATAACACATCCTGCCACTAAGTTTTGTATAAATCCTGGGTGTAAATATACCCATCTTTGATCATACCTAATTTTGTTCATGTGCATTTTGACTAAAATATCTCCTACAACTCCCTACTCCTCAAAAATGGCTATTCCATCAAAACGATATGATTTATTTAAGCAGATATTTCATAATTTTGCTTCTAGCTGCTGTTCACAGACACTGGTTCATTTGCATGTACAGTGTCAGCAGTGTTGCACACACACAGCTTGAGCCAGCATCATCATTCTCACACTGATCCTATTAAGGGAAACTGCCTGTGTATCCTTTCCTTTATTACAGCACTGGACTCATTATGTCTTATATTGTATTGTATATTAATGTCTTCATGTTATACTCCTGAATCAACAGACACAACCATTTGTTTCTTTGACCTGCATGCTGCATTGATCGTGAACTACAGAACCATGCTGACTCTGAGGGTCACTCCCATCTTGATTAAAAATCCCTTTCAGCGCTTTAGCTTTGTTTTTCCATGTGATGACTCGATGACATTCATCTTAACATCAATAGCACACGTTGGCCACCCTAAGAACAATGCATGCATTTAAAAAGACACAGGCACTCACGGGTGAAAGGGCCGGAGGCTGAGGGGTTGACACTGTCACTGCTATCTCCACTCTCGCTGCAGGAGACCTCATCATCAGACTCCCGCAGGGAAGAGCACGGGGAGGAGGTGGCCTCCACCTCCTCAAATTTCCTCTTCAGTATTCCGCTCATGGCCTGCTGCATCTGCACCTGAAACCAAGAGACGGCAGAGGGGCCACATATTATTTAATATCCAGTTTAGGGGCCTTCATAATCCTCAGCACACTCAATTAGTAGTGAGACAACACACCCACCCCATCCCCCTTTCATACAAACACACACACACACACACACACACACACACACACACACACACAATCTCTCCTTCCACTATCATTCCAGTGTGGACCAACTGGACCAACTAGACCTCTATACACCTGGAAAGCAAATGATTAAACAGCTACAGGCTAAAATATGTTACATGACATCTTATAGATAACAGAGCAGATCCATAGCCTTTTTTATCTGGGTGCGAACACAGCCTGAGCTTTTTCCGTGAAGTGTGGCGACAACATGAAGGGATTTTCAGTACAGCTATCTGTGGCACCAGAGGAGGAACAGGTGAGGTGCTGTTCAAGTGACATCCTGTAGCTAGCTTGTGTTATTTGTCAGGGGAAAAAAAGGAAAAATGCAGGAACAACAGAGCAGAATCAAAAAATCCTTGTAATGTGCTCCAAATGCAGTCAATAATCATGTCTTTATGAATCACTGTCAAACAAATAGGCAGAATGGACCAATAAATAACACCCAGCTGGAGACCTTTTGTTTGTAAAATTGCCAAACGTGAATTTATTTTGGAGGTTCTTTGGTTAAATTAGGTGCAGCTATATCATGCACAGCTGCTCAGTGTAACTAAATAGTGGAGGCTATAGCTCTTCATACAGAGGCTGCATTTATACTACTACATTTTCTACTACGACCTCCGTCCACACGAGCGTTTTGGCTCTGTAAGGTTGGACACTGGGATTGTTTCACAGATTGCATGATTCGTCTCCTACGAATGTGAGGAGATTGTAAATGAGGAACTGCACAACAGTTATTAGCAAAGACAACAGGGTCAGCAACACTTGTAATTGATTATCCATTTTGGTTTTCCAGTGCACGTGAATGGTCGTGTGATATATGTTTTTACATGTGTAAGTATAGACGGCAAACAAAACTTATAGGAGAGAGATAGAACAAGTATGGATGCAAGCTTAAGCAGACCTAGAGTTTTCAAACTAAGAATGAGCCATCAGCGTTTCCAAACTTCTTCATTTTAGCGGCTCAGTGTGGACATGAGATAAATCTTTAACGGAGTTGATGTATTTTTAAATGAAAACATAGTAGCAGGGATGTTGCATAAATAGTCGAGGCCTCATATGGTTGATGTCACACAAGTGTTCCAAACCACTTCAGAGTCAGTCGAGAGGGGCCACTCTCTCTGAGTGTTGATGCAGTTAGATGTATAAACAAGAGCCAACTCATCAGTCAATACACAAAAACTAATCACCACTACACTGGAGCTGGCTCTAATCATATGTATAGTAACCGTCATGTTATTTTCTTGGTAATATCGTCCTGCCGTCTTGCTGACGAGGGTTGTAATATGTCAGGACTTAGTCATTAGTCATGACATTAGTTGAAAATGCAGTCATTCAAAGGATTTCATTGCAGAGTCTCATGTTCCCTGTTTAAAAAGCAGCAGCTGGAACCTCATGTCTCATTTTAAAATAAATAAAATCCAGTAACTGCACTGCTGCTGCTTGTATAGCACAGCGAGGAGTGCTATGACTGGCAGCTCATCCCTCACTGCCTTCGCTCTTGGAAGCTGGAGCCGGTAAAGACGGCGTGCATCTTCTTCACCCAGTCCCACTCTGTCTATATCTGCCAGAGCAGCTTGTGGGGGAGTTCCATTCACAGACTGTTTCATCTGGGCTCTGCTATTGAGTCATTACAGATGCAAATGCTGCCTGAAGAGAATAAGGTGCTGGCAGCAAAGAGGGTCATTGTTCCCGGGGGGGGTTGTTCAGTGTTCAGTGCGGTGTCATGGCACCACCAGCATTTGGAAAAGCTCCAGCGTCAACAGCTCTACCTACAACTGAGGAATGTGAGGCATCGTCCATTTGGGAGGAAGTGGAGGAGAGAGGAGCCAGTTTGGATAAATCTCATAAAAAAAGAAGTAAATCGTCTTTATACTGTAAAGCCAATAACTGAGTTGGATAAAGGGAAACAATCAATCCACTCTCTGTGCTGAATGATGACAAAACCTAACATTAACTAATGACTTGTGAAATATATAAAATTATCCTTGTGGGATTTCAAATATTCATCAACATTTAAAGATGCTAATCTCACATGAGAACAGAAACTGATTTGATTCACCACAGCAGGAGTGGAAATTTCCAGCAGAAATGTTCTGTGCAATTTTGTTCAATTTCCTAGAAAGGGTCCTAATTAGATACTATTGTTGGAAACCTATTCATATGCTTAGCCCTCAGCTGATGCTGCACTGGGCTTTGATACCAAAAGTGGTTTCCATGGAGATTCTAATGCACTCTCTCAACTAGTGCGTTACCATATGACTGTTCCCTGTATTGCATTCAGTATGTGATGGCTCCTCATGGTGAAACGAAGCCGATTCTGTGAAACCAGTTCCTTTCTCAGATTGATGCATCACTGGTTCATGTCTCATCTGACAGCAGGAGGTAAAAGTTAAAATCTTGACTGCGGACTTGCATGACATCATGGGCCACAGCGCTGAGGGTGTTCTCGGATGAACCTCTTTCATCATGGCTAAATAAAAAACAGAGAACGCTGCTTCTTTTCCAACTGCTCCTTCTTTCTTTGTCTTCACTGTTGCCTTCCCAGTAATCATGGCTGGGCAGCATACACTGTGGCACGATGGAGAAAATCCCAGAAAAAAATAATGCAGCAGAAGCCAGCTTGGAAAGCCCCTCCCTGTGTTTGCCTCTCTCTGCACACATCAAGTGTGGAAGCCAACTCTTGTCCTTAATCAACAGCACTAACAGCAGTGTGGCACGCTTGCCTTCTTAATACAATTAATTTTCTTTAGGCCCCTTGTCATTCACGAGGTTCCCACAGTCACAGAAAAGGGATGTGACAACACACAAGACTCAAAAACACTCATAACCAGTGACGACAGCAAGCCTATGGCATCTGGAGCAAGTCATGACACATCAGTCCTGCAATGACCACATTACACTCCGGTGTGTGGGTGTGTGTGTGTGCTGGCCCTCACAGGAACAACTGACCTGTATCCTCTGGCAGACTGTTCCTCCTTTCACCTCTTCTCACAGCAGCACAGCAGCCGCACAATCATAAATGCAGCGATTCAAAACGAAAAGAAAGGTGAGACATGATGAATGAAGAGGTTCCCATTTTGTTTCAGTCCACTGACTTGCAGCGACCCCTGAGCTCCACGGGCATTAGAGGGAAAAAAAAGTGTGCAGGAGCGAAAGAGAGAGACTTGCAATTCTCCAGCTCGGCCTGCATGTGCTGCCTGTACCATATGCTTTATTGTTGCAAGAAGACAGATTTTCTCATTTTAACTATACCTCTCTGTTCCTCTACCTCCCTTTCTCTCTCTCTCTCTCTCTCTCTCTCTCTCTCTCTCTGTTTCTCTTTGGCCACACAAAGGCTCATTAGCTGCAGCCGGCTGAAAGGCAGCAGCCTGACTGGAGTAGAGTGGAGCAGAGCAGAGGCAGCCTGAGATCACATGGGTGGGATGTCTGAGAGAGAGAGAGAGAGAGAGAGAGAAAGAGAGAGGGAGAGAGGGAGTGCCTCTGCTCCTGCTGTCTGCAGATATTTTTACCAACATGAGCTGGGGAGGGGAGGGGGACGGGAAAGGGGAGGAGGAGGATGTAGGCAGAGGTATGGGGGAATCAGAAGGAGGGAGAGGTGGATGAAGGGGGGGGGTGCATGTGTAATGCAGGGCAGTGTGAAAGAGGCGTAAAGGGGGGGTGAGGAGAGATGCAGAGAGGAGGGAATAGTAAAGTGGGGGGGTGAAGAAGGGGTGGAGTGAGAGAGTGGGGCAAAGGAGAGGGGAAACATCCGATGCCAAGAATAACACTATTAAAAAACGAGAAACTGCAAAATAAAAGCCTAAAAGAAAAGTCCAGGATACATTAAATTCATCAAGAGAACAAGATTAAAGTGGCAGTTGTCCACCTGCAGAGTATATCTGCACAGACAGGTCGCAGAGGGAATTTGGAACACACACACACATGGAAGAGGCTGACATATACTAACTCAAACACAGGAAATACGATTTGTCAGGACTGTAGCGCAAGGGCTCGCAACACTTCCTATGCCAGGAAGTTCTGCAGGAGAGTGAGTGCAGGGGCCTCAGCTTGTGCAGTCAGAGAGACACGATATCGCTCCTGCACTCAGTTGGACTGTATGTCAATATAAAAAGGCTGTGCACTTCCTCTTTTAGGGCAGCTTTAAGCCTGGAGGTTTTTTGACAGCCAGCACAGCATTACAGTCATTACAAACAAGCGAGAGCATAAACACAGTTTATAGTGTAGTAGGAATAAAATTGTATTTTATTTACTGGAAAAAAATGTTTTAATGTGTTGCACAAAATGGTTAGTTACGCTTGAAGCAGATTTGCATTTTTTCTGGATCATAAATTGACATAATTTCAATCCAGTGTGGGTTACATGGGAAGTTTATAAAATGTTTGGTGAAGCCAAAGTATATTGACAGTTTTATGTGAAACAATTTGTGTTTTTTCTTCAATGCATCTGGAAGAAAAGCAATTTCATTCAACCCTACAATGCTCTGCGTCCTCATCATTGTCCTCACTTAACCTCCTCCTCCATCCCTGTTGTCTGTTCCATTATCGAGCCACTCCAGGAAGCAGCAACAGCCCTTTAAAAGCAAACATGTCTATAGAATGAAGTCTCACCGGATGATCGGATTTAATCAGGAAATGTTTCTTTCTCGTTGGTCATCTCATTATTTCACCATGTTGTAAATGATGTTTCAGGTAATCTGAGCTGCATTTCTATCTGAACATACAATACTGATAAATGCAGCAGCAGTAGCAGTACCAGTAGTAGGGCATACTGTAGGGTTTATATTCTGTTTAGCAGTGACTTTGTAATGGGTCCTCTAAAATGGTGGATGTATACAGTACATACTGT